GAATAAATGATTTGAAAAAAAAAAAAAAAAAAGAAATCAGGTATCATTTTTTAATTTTAGAGTTGTATTGTTATGTAAACCGGGTTGATCTAATCCCATAAAGCCTTATAAAAGATCTGATCATGTGCCAACCTGTTTTACATCCCAATAAAACTTATCAACAAATGGTACCTTATTATTTATATTTACATATGTAACTGATTTATGAAAAATAGTAAGGTACTGAAGTCTTAAATCTGTAAGAGATTTGCATTTTTTCAAAACTCAACTGTGTAATTTGAATGTGTTGAACAAATCAATCTTTTACGATGTCACTATAAGGTCAAGAGGAGTAATACATTTAAGGAATGAAGCCTATTTCAACTTATGTTATCCGATATAACATAACTTGGGGCAGTTTACGCTTTATAAACCGCGAAGCGGTTTATAAAAAAGCGTAAACTGCCCCAAGTTTTGTTATATCAGATAACATAAGTTGAAATTAGCTTCATTCCTTATAATTTAATTCCAGAGTGGACAATGAGACAATATTTACTCCGGAAAAAGACTAGAAATTGAGCATTATTTTAAAAGTAACGTCAAGCGGAGTAATAGATTTTTGACGTTACTCATTGTGACGTAGGCAAGTTATGTTATCCAAAATATTATATGTTCCTCTGAATGATTCAGCCAATGAAATTGCTTGATACAAGTGAAATTAAATTATTTTTGACGTAACTCATAGTGTCGTAGGCAAGTTATGTTATACGAAATGGATACTGTAACAATTGTTAATCAAATGACGTGTTACAACAAAAATTAAATTATTAGAAAATTATTATTAAAAATACAAGCATCACAGTCCACTTAACCTTGATTTTTGACCTATTTTTCTGAAATTCTCTGAATAAACTTCTGTCTTTTGAATTTTTTATGATTGAATTTGTTTAAATTAAAAGCATATATAACATTTTTATAAGATCATGAAACTGTACTTTTAAACTTATTATGATAAACAATTGTCAGTGATAATTGCTTTTCTTTGAAGTCGCATTAACCGTAGATGTGTTTTTTTTTCTTGCTGTCAAATGCAGAATGCACAAACTATTAATGTGTATTTAAACTTGTATTCAAATGAGTAGTTGACCATGCACTCTTCATTCATATCCTTAATGATGCTATAGCAGGCGACGCATGATTCTTGAAATACTTTGGACTGTACACCAAAATTCTTACTTTCTTTAGACAGTTAAAATCTTACATGGATTTATAATATCTACACTAAATGTTTAGTAAGTTTCAAATGATTGGTTTTTATTTGTAGACAGCACAGAGTCCACTGGAATTACAGCTTCAGAAGATGGTGCTTTCCAGAGGAGGGGGTCAGGCAAATGCTATAACAGTCTGTCAGGTAATGTACACATATATCCTTGATTTTTAGGTCACCTGAGTAAACTCAGGTGACCTATTGCTATCTGTTTGCGTCCGTAGTCGTCCATCGTCCGTCGTGCGTTAACATTTGAACATTTTCAGCTTCTTCTCTGCTACCACTGAACCAATTTTAACCAAATTTGGCAAAAAGCATCTATGGGTGAAGGGGAACAAAAATTATGAATTTCATGATCCCTGCCCCCCTGGGGCCTGAGGGGTGGGGCCAAAACCACTAAAATTAATGTAATCTTTAAAAATCTTTTTCTTTACTCCTGGACATCAAGCAGTCAAACTATTTGCATGATTGTAATGAGCATTAAGTCCTCTACCGCAATTGTGAAATTCATGGCCCCAGGGTCAGGGGTTCTAGTGCTAGGGCGGGGCTAAATAAGTATATAGTGAAAATGCATTATTTCTTTGAAAATCTTCTTCTCTGCTCCTGGGTACTAAATAAACTAAGTAAGTGCATAGTTATGATGAGCAAGAGTGCCTCTGCCAAAATTGTGAATTTTATGGCCCCAGGGTCAGGGGTTCTGGTGTTAGGGCGGGGCTCTATAAATTATATAGTGAAAATACATGAACTCTTTAAAAATCTTCTTCTTTGCTCCTGGGTATTAAATAAACTATAAACTAAGTGCATAGTTATGATGAGCAAGAGTGCCTCTACCAAAATTGTGAATGTTATGGCCCCAGGGTTAGGATTTCTGGTGTTAGGGTGGGGCTCTATAGATTATATTGTGAAAATGCATTAATTCTTTGAAAATCTTTTTCTCTGATCGTGGGTTTTAAATAAACTAACTAAGTACATAGTTATGATAAGCAAGAATGCCTCTTCGAAAGTTGTGAATTTTATGGCCCCAGGGTCAGGGGTTCTGGTGTTAGGGCGGGGCTCTATTGATTATGCAGTGAAAAATTAAATTACATTAAATCTTTGAAATTTTTTTTCTCTGTCTCTGGGTATGAAGCAGAAAAATTACCTATATGGTTATGATGAACAAGGGCCCTGATCTTCCAGAATTGTGAATTTCAAGGCTTTAGGGTCGGGGTACCATAGACGGGGGTGGGGGGGGGGGGGTGCTGTACTTATATACAGAAAATGAATGAATTGTTTGGTATTAATCAAATATTTTTGAAAGGAAGGGATCCCTTTTCAAAAATTGTGCAGTGTGTGGATCTAGGCCTAAGGATCAGGGGTTCATGTGTGGTAAGGACACTACTAATTATTGCTGAATATTACTGATCAGTTGAAATTCATTTTTTGTTCCCCTACCCTGCCTATGGGTATTAAGTAACCAAGCTAAGCAACTGCTAAGTGTATTGTTATGATGATCAATGGCGCCTCTTTCAAAATTGTGAATGCCATAGCATCTGGCTTAAAACATGAATCAAATTCAATAACTGGAAAGTTGTGGCATAATGCTCAGGTGACGTATAAGGCCCATGGGCCTCTTGTTATTATACCTCATTATAAATATTCTAAACAACGCGTTATCTGATTGGTTCTAAGTTGTCATGTGATCGGGCCGTAAAACTTCATATTTCCCAGCCGTCGGCACGCTCTTCATCATATTCCATCTCTTCGAAACACTTAGTGTATTTTCCCGCAATATAGTTCTCGTTCATTGAACGAAAACTCCCGAGAGAAGTAGACGTCACAATAGCCTGGTTGACGTCACAAAACTGATGAAAATGTGTTGAACAAAGGGTTTTATAGTAACTTTACGTAAAAAATGAAAATTAATTTGAGAGACGTGCCAAATTTGAAAGTTTATGTTTATTTCAAAGGTTTTGCTTGTTTCGGTATAATAAACATTTCATTGCATGAATGTTCGGGAAACATGAAGACTTATTCAGCCAAGAAATATCATATTCCCCTCGGGCGAAGCCCTCCGAGAATATGATTTTTCTTGGCTGAATAAGTCTTCATATTTCCCTCACTATCATGCAATAAATGTATAATAAAGAATTGTGCTTTGCTGTGATGTACAACATGTATATGCTAAACTAAGTAGTATTCAGGGTTTTACACATGATGCACATGTTGGAATCGTGTTCACTTTGTGTCAAAACTTGACTACCATTTAGGCATAGTGCATGTAAAGCACAATGTTGTAGTTATTTATATATGGACTATGTATCAAAATAAATTCATTGTACATGCAGATGTACGTCTAATCTCCATAATAATTTTTCCATATGCATTTTAAGCTCACCTGAGCTCAAGTGACCTTTCTAATCACATTTCGTCGGTTGTCAGACTGTCCGTCTGTCTGTCTGTGAGCTTTTCAAATTTCAACTTCTTCTCAAGAACCACTCAGCCTATTTCAACCAAACTTGCCATGTTCAAAGGGACATAATTTATAATGAATAGACTAAAATTTGGTGGTATCTTTTAAAAATTTTTTTCTCAAAAACCACTAGACAAGGAAAGATGAAACTTATGTGGAAACATATTCAGGTAGTGTGATTTACGTTTGTTCAAATCATGACCCCCAAAGGTAGTTTGGGGTCACAAAGGGGGATAAAAGTTTTACATAGAAATATTACAGAAAATACTGTAAAAAATCCTGTTATCAAGAACAGCAAAGCCATGATTGGTCATATAGAAGCATCCTCAGGTAAAAGTTTGTTCAAATCATGATGTCCCGGGGGTAGGGTGGGGCCACAATGGAGCATCAAAATTTTACAAAGGATTATATATGTAGGAAAGAAATCTTTTTCTCAACAACAGAAAAGCCATTATTCTTCATGTTCTTATATATGGAGTCTTCCTCAGATAGTGTACAATCGATTTTATTCCAATGAGTGCCCCAGGGATAGAACTAGGCCACATTATGGGGGATCAAACTCTTACAAATGAATGAACAGGGGAAAGGGGGAAAAAAAAATTGCTGCTAAAGAACAGCAAAGCCACTTGTTATGTTAAAATGGAAGCATTATTAAGTAGTTTAAAATTCAAGACCCCCCCCCCTGTAAACTTTTCAATATCCAACCTTTATTATGACTATGTTTGCCCATATGAAACAGTCTGGGAGGTTTCTTGAACCTGTGAAATCAATATAGCATTATACATATACATAATATAAAGAATCTTTGGATGCTAGGATGCTGGTCTTTTACCATTTTTAGCTCACCTGAGCTAAAAACTAGAGTAATCTTTTCTGATCACCGATTGTCTGTCGTCCGTCTGTCTGTAAACTTCTTACATTTTCAACTTTTTCTCAGGAGCCACTTGGCCAATTTCAACCAAACTTGGTACAAAACAATCTTAGGTAAAGAAAAGAACAGCAAGACCAATTGGATTCAAGTGAGTTTAGTGGTCCACTGATATCTTGTTAGGTATCCTATTATATTATTTGACAATTTATTTAATTCTTATTAGATTGTAGGCACGGCATCTCTCATTGGTAAAAGGACTGGAAAAGTTGTTGGCTTCAGTGCTAGATATAAAAGATGCAGGTAATGTGATGTAGCAAAGGCAAAGAAGAAAACACCTGGAAAGCATGTATGCAGAAAAAACTGGAAAGGATCCTCAAAAGCTATGGAACCGGACATGATTGTGGAAATCCTAAATGATGTCAAAGATAAAAATATAATTATTTAATACCTAAGATATCGTTTACTTTAGATTTTAAACATATTAGATATTATAAAAAGGATGCACCCATTCTCTATCCACCTTGAATAAAGGTCTCTCCTGCAGACAGAAGATTTGTGTTTCAATGGTCGCCATGCTTATTTTTGGAAAGGATATTATTATCCACCCATTCTGTTGCCTAGATATGCCCATTTCTGACAAATGAACTGTTCTTGTCATAAAAAATTAACTCGCATGGAATGAAATATAAAACTCAGAAAAATCTTTCAACTTTTGTGACAGAACGCTACGGAGGGGGTCACGTGACCGCCAATATCACGCGATTCGCGCATGCGCAGAACGGTGGTTGATGTGCATTAAAATTAGGGAGGATTAATTCAAAATATAAGCAACATTAAAACCAAATATTGTTTCTTGTATGGAAGTTATTCAATTAGTTTGCGAACTGTTTGATCACCCCTCGTATTGTAAATTTGTTTTGAGGGCTTAAAGCAAAATGGATTCAAGTTTCATTATCTGTTTGAATTTCATACAAACGTAGATAAGTACAATTTTTGATTTTTTAAAATAATTGTTTGGATATTCTTACACGCTGTCGTTTTCACTCATTTTTCAAAATATAGGGTGACCTTTGAGTTTTAAACTTTTTTCTATAAAATGTTTCTTTAAAACAGTATGAACTATCCCCAAAATGATTTTTATCAATTTTCCTATGTGTCTTTAAGTCAATAAAACATAATCAGTGATACTTTCTTGAAATTTCGCATATTTATATCGGTTGTTGTAAGTCATTATTGCCAAGGACGGCACCAATTTTTGATGCTCATTATGTAAATTTTGTTTATTGAAATCTACATGTTCACCTCTCAATAAAACAGGTATTGGTTGCTGTAAATTTCACATATTTCAGTTATCAATTTTTGGGATATTAACAAGTTTTACAGCTACTTCAATGAAGCATTTAATTTTACTCTAGCTAGTTTACTGATTCTTGACCATTCATTTTCAATGCAGTGTCTCGAATAGCCCTTGCTTTCCAGCTTCCCACGGTGAAATAATGCGATGAAAAGTGTTCACACAAACTGTTATCAATTCGTTAAAGATTAAATAATGAGAAAAAGTCAAGTTTTATATCATATGACCACTATATTGTATGCCATCATTAGCTAATGACACTATTTATTGAATTTCCCTCGTATCTTCAAATAATTGCACCTATCTTCAAATAACTGTACCTTTATTCGATTCATTTGAAGATAAAATACAATTGAATCAGAGATAGGTATAATTAAATTAAAGATAGGTACGATGGAATTGAGGATAGGTGTAAACTAGATATCATTGAGATGGTGACCATCTCAAAGGGCCCCGCTTTCAACAAT